AGACAAAAATTGCTACGCTAATACTTATTTTGGTGCTAAAACATGAATAAACACAACTATAGGGTAAGCCAATAAGCTGAATGGGAGTTATCCATAGTATGCAATCACAGTGCTTTGATACTACTTTAACTGCCATAGTTCTACCCTAGAAAATCCTGGGAATTGTAATTTGGTGATAAATTTAGAATCATTTGGATGGACTTCTAGTGCTGTAGATCGGGGAGTGTACCAGAGAATTCTAAGTACCTCATTAAACTACAAATCACAGGATTCTATGGGACAGAGCTGTAGTATGAAATGGTTGTAATTACACTGTGTGGATATGCTCTAGAACTGATCAAATGAAGTAAGAAAAGAAGATAAACTTTCACTCCCAGAAATTAGTTATATACAGGCATATATCAATTTCTGTTTTGTGTTTTTTCCCTTAAAAAAAAAGATGCAAAGATGGCATATATCTGGGCAGATAAATAAAAATGCCAATGTTACAAGCACTTGTGCACCTTCATTGCTGCCCGATTCTCCACTTTGTATCAGCAGAGCTCATGTGCAAGTGCATCCCAGAACTTGAACGCATTTCAAAATGAAATTTTAATTATCCCAGGCCAATTTCTTCAAAAAGACAAAGTGTTCCATGTGCAACTATATGAAAGATATTCCAGTAATGAATGGGGCAGTTTCCTTTTGCGCTGTTCTTTATGTGCTCTTCAGAACACTTGAGTGAGGCTTGTGCCACTGAATAAACTGTGAGATTGTTAGTGTTGCAAACTGGAAACTGAAAATTATATATATATGGCCAGAACCCTAGTTTTTTCCTACAATATTTTAATATTTGGATCAATTGACTTTTATCTCAAACTTGTTTGTTTAAAAGAAATGTTGAGATGCTACCATATAATTAAATATATAACTTAAAGAGTTTGCCAAAATCATTCTTAAAATTCCAATCAGACTAGATCAGATTAGTCATAAAATGACCTCCAAATAATTAAATCAAAAATTACTTTATTTTTGTAATCTTTAGAAACATTGACAGTAATGATAGCATTCTTAATGCTTAAGTGTTGTGTGCAAACTCCTATTAACAATGTTTATGCATCTCTTTAAAATAATAATAAGGGAACAATACATGAGATCTAAAGGAACAGGGAAAAGTCAGTGCAATGTTTATTGGCTATAGTTTCTGATACCAAGGCAAAAGGGAAAAAATAGAACACACTGATTAATTACTGGTCCCTCTTTGCTTTCATCATCTAATTCCGTAACTTCATTGCATCTGAGATATTGGCATAATAAGCACAGTGGTTTCACATAGACCAATGGTTTTAAAGTTGTGATCTTTCAGACACCAAGATTTTTAAGTTGATGTCTATGAATGAAACAAAACACGTTTGTTCTATCTGATAGTTTTTAGCTATCCGAAATTAGGATCTATTGCTTTTATTGCAGTTTAATGCTATATGATCAATCTCTATGCTTATGTGCTTAGTCTTCCTTTCCCTCCTACCACCTTGCAAGTTCTGCATAATTAATTATTTTCTGGTTGCATAAAACTAATAATTGGCTATTACTTTCAAACTAGTAGACATTGCTTTGCACTTGCCCTACAAATCAGGATTATACACAAAACATTAAGGTTAGATAATATGCGAGCAAATTCTTGATTCCATAATGCCAAGGTTTCTCCCTTGACATTAAATCTAGTCATGCCCGACTCTGGGAGGTGGTGCTCATCTCCATTTCTATGCCGTGCTAAACCGTGATTTGATGATACATGTGAGTCTTTAACGTATCTATACATACACAGGTGGATGACAATTAATATACTTAAATTAGCATTAAATAAATGTGGTTTTAACAAAAAGCTTACTTAGAAAAAGTATAATGAATGCTTAAATTGTGTTTATTATCAGTATTCAAGGGAACTAAAGAGGATGCCTCTTGGATATCAGTTCTTCCAGCTTCTGTCTTTTTAGTAAGACTGGTAAAAGGGGGTGAAGGGATTTAAAACATGCACCAATTGAGACCAGGGCAGTAGCAATGAAAACTTTAGCTGATCAACTAGAATGAATCAGGCAAAACTCAACAGGGTTACAAATATAAATTTGGCAGCTGCAACACCAAGAAGCAAATGTGTGAAAGGACCATGCTTAATGTTTGCTCTTATTTACCTCTTTCTTTAGAGCAGTGGTTCTCAATCTGTGGGTCCCCAGATGTTTCGGCCTTCCAAAAATCCTAACAGCTGGCAAACTGGCTGGGATTTCTGGGAGTTGTAGGCCAATACACCTGGGGACCCACAGGTTGAGAATCACTGCTTTAGAGAATGCCTGAAGCAAGTACTGACTGAAATAAAGTTCCTACTATCTTTGGGGAACACATAAAAATTCAATAATAAAGGAGAGCTCACATTCCACTTATAAAGTAAATGTTTTGAACTCCTTTTCACCAGTCTCTACAGGGCCCCCGTCTACTCTGTCTCCAATACACAATACCCCAATCTGTACTAGGCATTTAAAAAGTCTGCACATAAATCATGCTTCAGATCAGAAAATTAGTTCTACTGCAAATGTCTATTACTGTCTTTAAAAGCTAGATCATATTTCATCTGAATTGTCAGTAAATCGCTAAAAATGTTTTTGTAAGATTCCTATAGAAGCACAGACATAATTTCAAGGATTTATGAGCAGGACTGGAAAGGAAGATGTTATTTTACCCATAAGTTATTCTTTAAATTAATCCAGAGTGATGAGTTATTGTGTGAACAGTTTCCACATATCTGCCTCTGCTGGAATAATTTCATCAACAAATCCAGAGAACAAGAAGATCCATCCTAATTGTCCCCAACACACACACACACACACACACACACACACACTTCTTTCTCCAGGGAACTTGGCATTAAGGCTTGTATACAACTTATAAAGACATGCATGGATGTTTCATCATGCTAGAAAGAAATCAATTCATGGCAGTCAATCTCCTCTGATTTTGACCTCTATTTTGCTCATCTTTATAAGCAGCTCATTAGAAAGTATAAAATGTCAAATACACAAAATACCATTTACTTAGCGGTGTCTTTAGGTGTTGTGTGTATAATATTCTATTAGTTTACGTGGCTAACTGGCAAAATGTGTATTTAATGTTACAAGTGAAAAATTAGGCACAGAGACAACTGTTTCACATGCATAAAAGGATGGATGGGACAAAAAGATTTGGGATTAAGCAGTCATATCTCTTTATAGAACACTGTTTGAGCCAGAGGAGGCCTCTATAAATAAAAAATGGGAAAAGATAATGTTATCAAATATAAAATTCTACAGCCATTGACACTGTTTCGGAAAGTCCTAAACAATCTAGAAGAGATTTGGGAAGAGAGGGTTTGGGAGGCTGCAAAAAGGAATCAGGAGGAATTACGATCTCTCAGCAAATTATAGAAGCTTCCACTGAGTCAAAGAGCCTTCTGTTAATGAAGGAACAATATTGGATATAAGCCATTATTACTTCTTGTGCTTTATGCACACAATGAAAAGAAGAGAAAATAAATTGCACATTTCACACCAGGATACGATTTGGGGGGGATGGAGGGGAGGAAATGTAAGCATGATGTTGCCCATTCCTACTTGTTTACTCATTTCACAAGACTAATACAAGTAGTCTTTTAAATAGTTTACATAAAACTGACACAATTTAAACAAAATCTTCCACTGTCTTTTAAAGTCAGTGACAAAGACGTGGAAATCACCACACACAGCTTTTCAATTAAGCTGAATACTTCCACTGCCATTTCAGTGAGAGGTGCACTGGATAGTCTCTCCTGTAACTAAATTCCCCAATGACCTCAAGAAAACACAGATCAATCATCTAAGGCAACACTTCAACTCACACATTCGCTGGAAGAAATGGATTAAGAGATGTGCAGATAACAGGAGGGTATTATTTAGAAAACATCCTAAAACAAAGATTTGCTTTAAGAAGATATTACAAAACTGGAAATTATGCTTCTCTTCATGCATCAGTACATTTGAATAAAAAGGGCTTGCTGTCTCACTCTTTCTCCATGAGCAGTCATTTTACACCACAAGAGATGTAATTCTGGAAGAAAATTTACTTGGTCTACATACTTTAAATGAATTTCCAGAAGGGTTAGCCATGTTTGCTGTTTCGCTGCAGAAAACTAAAAGTCCTGTAATACCTTAAAGACTAACACATTATTATGGCATATGTTTTCTTTAGTTTACAAAAACTTTCTGTCCAGTAAAATGTGCTGGTCTTTATGATGCTATAGGAATTGGTGGCATCACTTAAATTAAACCAACCTATTTGTATGGCCTCAGAAACATCAAGAGGTCTTTGCAGAATTACAAATAACATGAAATTACAAATATTTGGGTGATAGGTTAAGAGGACAAATGAGGACCAGTGTGTTTGGGGAAGAAATTGTACAGCTAGAAAAAGCTGACCAGTTTTGAAGTTCTTACAGATAATTGGAGGTTATAGTGTTAGTAGCCCGGGGAGACAGTAGTGGATTGCTAGAAAAGGCATGCCTCAGCAACAGAATCTATAGCTTTTATTAATCACTACACCTATGGAAGATCATACTAAATAATTTTTTCCAAGGGCAGAAATACAAAAATCTGCCACTTTTATTGCTGGATGCTACAGCAATCGACCAGAGCCCAACACATTAATGTTGCATTTCTCTGCATAGATGAAGAAGCTGAGATTAACTCATACTTCACTTGAAAACTAATATTGAAGGATTTGCACTCCGATCCTCAACACAGATTTACATGGAAGTAAACCTGAATTATATCACTGGAACTTACCACCATGCAAGTTTGTTCAGGACTGTAGTATTAGGCCTCTATGAAGAATCAGGGGTGAAGAACCCCTATAAGTTCTTGCCTCTCACTTTTTAGAATGGAAAACGACAAGTTTCACTTGCATGTCTTCTGTTTTGTTTTTGTTTTTTGAGACAGTGGATTTTTCAATTCACATGGTTATTGGTATCAAACACAACTTTATGAGAGCCCTCTTATAAACAGTTTTATTCCTATCATTGATGTCAGACAATGACAAAAAGAACTTATTTGAGATCTTCTTTAAAAAAATAACTTACAAAGCAGTGATATACACAGCACAAAACAGTTCAGATGGGGAGAGGGAAGCAGTTCTTTTAATAGTTAAAATGTAAACGTGAAAAAGATGGAATAAAAGTCCCTATTTCTTATTTCTACTTAAGATGCCATGTGATAATATTTTACAACGTCCTGCAGGTTTATGTATGTATGTGCGCATATCTATGTCTCTGTAACACACACATACATACACCTACCCTACATATACATACACAGATAATTTTGCAGTTCAGACTTGGGCAGCTCCGATATGCCACTTGTTATGGATGCTGAAATCAAATCAGGACCCATGTTCTTCACAAAACTGGAAAGATGGTTGAAAAAAAAACACGGTGGGTCCAAGAGTGGCAGAAATCTTTTCTGTTAAACTGTACACAGGGATGAGTATTTTTTCTTCTTTAGTAGCTCTCTGGAGAGGGCCAATTCAGTGCAGCCATCATGAAGAGACTTGGTTATGGATCACACACTCATTGTCATGCTGGGAGAATACTGAAAAATAGGAATCAATGTTTTAGCAGCAATTTAATGGCTTAATAGCAACTGGAAAAAATCACATGCTTGTGAGACACATCTCAATAGGTTAGTAAGCTATTGAAAGTTTATTGAAAGTGATTCTGGATGCACTGCTTAAACGTTTGTTTAATTAGAGTGATATTTTGTTCCTTATCAAGGACTCAGTGAAATTATTAATAATAAATACTGATGTGATCCTACTATAAATAAAACAGTAAAGAAAATGAAATTTTAGAAAGTTTTTGCTTTGGATTAGGTAAAAATTAAATTTGGATTCATAGAATCATAGAGTTGGAAGAGACCTCATGGGCCATCCAGTCCAACCTCCTACCAAGAAGCAGGAAAATCGCATTCAAAGCACCCTCGACAGATGGCTATCCAGCCTCTGTTTAAAAGCCTCCAAAGAAGGAGTCTCCACCACACAAAGTAACAAGAAACTGAAATTCATCTTTGGCAGAAACAGTTCCCACTAATGCTTTCATCAGTCTTTATTTCCAGGTAAAGTAAAACTGAAGAGATTACAGAGCTGCTGCTGGCAGATAGACATCCTTCTTTTTAATAATTAAATAGCTAATTTTAAAGAAGTATAGTAGAGTCTTGCTTATCCAACCTTCGCTCATCCAACGTTCTGTATTATCTAACGCAGTCTGCCTCCCACCCCAATCCACTGCTGTTTCAATACATTGCAATATTTTGGTGCTAAATTTGTAAATACAGTAATTACTACTTAATATTACCTTGTATTGACCTGCTTCTTCTGTTGATTTGTTGCAAAACATGATGTTTTGGTGCTTAATTTGTAAAATCATAACATAATTTGATTTTTAATAGACTTTTCCATAATCCCTCCTTATTATCCAACATTTTTGCTTATCCAACATTCTGCTGGCCCATTTATGTTGGATAAGTGAGACTCTACTGTACAAGCATATTTTGAAGGATCAACAAAACATGACCTTGATAACTTTAGCATAATTTTTATTTGTGAATGAACTTTAGGAGGCATCTAAACTAACATGACAAATTGTACTCAGAAAATGTTTTTCATTGTACCATTTCAGAACTACTTTTTCTTTGACAGTGTAGGTAGCTTGTAATAAGCTAAATGTTTAACTAAACATCTTCTGCAATTTCCTCTGTGAGGATATTATATTTTTGATGTGTCATGAAATTGTACAACTCACTGGAAAATATGAAAATACCACATTTCAAATAGATTGATTCAAGGAAGCCAAAGTCCTGAATCTACAAGTCTTGAGCAGAATATTTACTGACAGGTTCTCTATAAAAGTAATATTTTTGGAAGAAATATGTATCCATCCTCGGTTGCGCTGTTGGAATTTTTAGTTGTTCACATACTCCATGTTCAAGTTACACATTGCTGATAAAAAGTGTGTGTTAATTTTAAAAAAACATAACAAAGGAAACAAAAATTACTTTCATTGAAGAAGTAACACCATTTATGGCAATATTGGGTTAAAATTAAACATATTAGTAAATGTAACAAATCAGCAAAAATAAAAGCACTTTACTTACACTTTCACTCTGAAAGGGGTTTAGAAAGTTCCCCCCCATTTCACCATCATCACGAGGGGTCCCTGGCTGATTGCTCATGCTCATATTACTGGGAGAATTCTATTGGAAGAAAATAAGGGTGTTGGCATATAGACTTAAACTGATGTGCAGGTGTTTCCAAATAACCTTTAACATGACCATTTAAAAATGGGGACACCACAGAAATCCACAAGCCACATATTAAAGAACAAACTACATTTGAGTTATTACAGATGTAATAGAAATATCTACTGGACTTGGAGTGGCAGCCTTTCTAGTTTTGCTATTTAAAAAACAAGAATTGGGAGAAAGAATTGGAAGTCTGAAACTATTGTGAATCAGCAGGGCAAATTACAAAGCAAATTATTTATCCCAGTCTATTGTGTTGTAGTGCTTTTGTGCCTAGAATTTTTTTTTTGGGTCATGTCAGGAGTGACTTGAGAAACTGCAAGTCATTTCTGGTGTGAGAGAATTGGCTGTCTGCAAGGACGTTGCCCAGGGGACACCTGGATATTTTGATGTTTTACCATCCTTGTGGGAGGCTTCTCTCATGTCCCCGCATGAGGAGATGGGGCTGACAGAGGGAGCTCATCTGCACTCTCCCCGGATTCGAACCTGCGACCTCTCTGTCTTCAGTCCTGCCGCACAGGGGTTTAACCCATGGTGCCACCGGGAGCTCCGCGCCCCTAGAATGATCCTCCTACAGAACAGATTATCCTGTTCTTTACTTAAGGAACAATTATTGGAAGCAACATTATATTTCCATGTACTGATGGCACTGAACTTTTGGAATTTTGGATAAGAAATAGCTCCTGAGGTGTCATATAGATAGCAATTCTATTTTGTCTTTTCTTACCTTGAAGACAAAAATATTTTGGCATAAGCATTTGAAATTATAATATATTTGAGGTCCTTTATTTGAACTGCATTTCCAACACAGAACACATACACTGAAGATGAACAACTCGGTTATGATAAATCAATCACAAAACAGTTCAATATTAAATTCAGATGATCAATCAACAAAACTCTTTAACATACCCTAAAGATTACCAAGATTTGATTTTATCTCCTAATAAATGGTAATTTGCAAGTGCAATGCCATTTTTGTGTTGATAGTCTAATAAAAGTTACTTCATTGTAAAAAAACAAAAGAATGAGAGAATGTTAATAATTAAAGTAAATTTGCTTTGTGACCTTAGGGATACTTACTTTGGAGATACTGTCCATGTCTCCTGAACCTTAAATTGAAATCAACATTTATTTTAGTTTTCAATTTAATCATCTTGAGATCAATATTTTCCAAAAATGTAAAACATGTATCATGTTTCCAGATTATCTTAGATATGAGAATCTCACTCTTTAACTGTGAGTCTTCACTTTCCTCTTCTAACTGCTACTTGGAGAGTGGGATCTGAGTAAGTATTTTTAAAAACAAATGTTTATGTGAACCACATTAAGACCATATTACTGTTTTGGTGATTCAGGCAGATGATGTAGAGCAGTGGTTCCCAACCTTCTTTTGACCAGGGACCACTTTGACCAGAAACACTCTCCAACATTAGTACCAAAAGGGTTCCGAATCGGTTTTTGGTCAACTTTATATTTGGTTTGGCTATTGGGGTGCTGATTCAAAACATTGTATTGGATAGACCACATCAGCTATAGTTTCTGATACAGAACATATGCCATCCAGGAGTCACCATCTGCTCGCCCACAGGAAACCATACTTAATATGCCTTAGCACTATAAGTGGGTTTTGTGACACCAATCGCTCTCGTTGCAACGGTGTCATAACAGTGAGGCCATGGACCATATTTTAATTCTTGTAGACCACTGGTGATCCACGGACCACAGGTTGGGAACCACTAATGTAGAACAATAATGAAAACAACAGCAATTAGTAGAATATAGTATTAGAATCCCACATAGAGATTCTTGAGATACAAGCAGAGACCATTAAAAAAACCCAGTCTTAATCTAGAATCATCACGGAACTGGAAGAGACCACAATGGCCATGCAGTTCAATCACCTGTCATGCACCGCCTTATAATCCAGTTCAAAGCAGATAATCTGGATTCACAAACTGGATTATATAGCAGTGTAGATGGGTTCCTAGTCTCAGAAAATGGTAGGAGAGATAGATGTATGTGATTCCAGAGTTATTTTATTGTAGGAGAAAACTGGAGGGGGATTTGGGGATTATAATTCCATTTCCCTTTTTATTGGAAATGCTCAAACAGTAGTGGCAAATGCATGATGCAGTTTTAATAAACAATTGCAAAGGAAAGAGGGGTTTCAATATAAAGCAACATCAACATTTTTTAAAAGTCAGTCTTTAAATTTATGATTACTCTGAGAACTGCATCCAGTATGTGACCCAAAATTCCGCTAGCTTTCCATGGCAAGATGTGAAAATATCCAAACATGCCTCAAATGCTTCAATTCCTTCAGTCTCTTATGTTACAGTCAAGTCCATGACTAATACTGAGATCTCAAAAGTCTGCTGTCACGTTTCTACCTTTAACATTACTGTTTATATGCCTACTACATTGGTGTCATGATGTTCTATGAAATATCACTCATGTAAGAGTTCACCAGTGCTTTTTGGAGTCTTGTTTCATATAGCTTTCCTGATTGAAGTTTTGGTTATAAACCTCTGAAGCAGGTGAATATCAATAATATTATTGGTCTTCTACTCTGCAATGTATTCTGTATTTCTTTGCTGGGTTTAGTTTTTACTTTAACTTTTAACTTTTAGTTACAATGTTCTGCTGACACCAATAGCATATACATTTTGAGATCTTCTATTTTCTCAAGACAAAAAGTATGCCTTTTTAACTACTTGGCTGGACTGGCCAAACTGAGAGGCACTGTATACAATAATTATTCTGCGGATGACTTGTTTTTGAACCGCACTTGAAGCAAAAAGACATCCAAATTAATTTGTCACAAGCAGTTCAGTTTTGTTTCAATCTATTTGCTGCTTTTTCTGCTCATCTGTGCAGCACATTTATCACATTATTTTAGTTTAATATGAGGAAGAAATGACCAGTAAAATATATGTGCTGTAGTTGTAACACGTATTCAGCTTAAGTATCCTTTCTGCCTTGTGTTTTTTTCTGTACTTATTTTGGTCTTGCATCTCATTCCTCTGTTCCTTCCTTCCCACCTCCATATTCTACCTAGTTCAAACAGGCAAAATACATTATTTTTACATGGCTAGAGATTTTGTTAGTAATATGAGAATTTTAACATTCCCAACAGTAGAAGAATATGTGAAAATATGATGGGGGAAAAAAAATCAGAATAAGGCTTTCTGAACTGGAAAACTTGCCTGATCGAATATACAATAATGATCATTAAGTATAACATCCTTACCTAATGATCCATTCATATGATGTGAATCCATTCCACCCAATCCACCCATAGGGCCATCGGACCCTGGTCCCATTGGAAACTGCAAGAAATGAAAATGTATCATACTATAAACATCCTACCAAACGCAGTAGATAATAAACAGTACTGTAGAATTCTTTAAGGTTGAAACTAAAACAGGAATTAGAATCATGGCTTAAACAGCTTTGAAGTATGAAGCAATGAAGTAAACTCACTAAATCCAACTGAACCTTTGTAAATGAAGGGAATTTATTTATTTTTTTTTCAAAATATTGCCTATGTCAGTATTACACTGTTACAATTTCTCAGAACATAACTGGAAAAAGAGCTAGGAGTTTGCCTAAATAATACCTGCAAATTCTCATGTAAGCACTGTTTTGATAACCGGATTGCATCAGAGTGAGCCCATCATGTAACCTTTCTAAATATGTTCCAATTAGTGACTTGAATTCTGTAGAGAAATATTGTATAATAGATGTTCTTCTTTGTGAAGATTGTGGGCATAGCTCGGAATGCTACCGTATTTTTAATCTATTATTCCTTACATATTGCTTTCAGTGAGTAATTTGTTAATTTATTTACAGTATTCTCACTCTAAAGGGGACTCAGGGCAGATCGCAGAACAAATAAACAGCAAACATTCAATGCCGTTATATACATACAGGACAAAGAACAGTACAGACAGAGGTATATAGGCTTTTTCCATCTTCAGCATCTTGGAGGTTGTGTTCGATTCCAGCCACCGGGGGGGCGGGGATTGTTGTTGCTCCATCCTCCATGTCAAAGATTCCTGTTCACAGACTTCTTCATTTTTTTGATCGAATCGCAGACATTTTCTGGTATTCCCTTATGGTGCCATTAAAATATCTCCCTGCTTAAGTGGTACCTATTTATCTACTCACAGCTGTTTTCAATCTGCTAGGTGGGCTAAAGGTTGGGTGCTCACCCTCAACCTGGGCTTCTAACTGCCAACCTTTCAATTCAAAAGATTTATTGTAGTTGGTGGTTAACTGTTGTACTCATTGGCTACTGAAGAATTGGCTTGTTGCCTTACTTGCTACTCATGAGTTGCTTTCTAGTTATTATTTTAAAATACACACATCCAAAAATGATCAAAATACTGCAAAATGAATTCCTAAAGGTCATGTTTTAGGAGTGAGGAAGAAGCAGTTCTTGTGCCAAAACAAAGTAACGCCCAACCTAAAGTACCACTTTTGGAGTGCTACTTTAAAAAAGTGTTGTTTAACTACAAGCTGTACAGTTAAAACATATGTATTTATTTCTGATACTTACGTTAGGTCTGTTGGGTCCAGGAGGTACTGCATTCATTAAAGTGTACATATTGTCTCCAGAATTAGTTGAATCTGAAACAAAAATAATGCTTAAGATTAAGTAGTTTTAGCAAGGAAAGATCTATGGGTACAGTTAACCTTTAGACAGATACACACAGTGACAGTAACACAATGGGAGATGCAATACTCTAACTACTTTTAGAGTAGCCTTCTGATAAAACCCATGGATAGATCAAGGGGAAAAGAAAGTGCCACCCTTGCCACCAATGCCGCCACACTTCCATCCAGGCATTTAAATTGGCCCTTTGCCATTCAACTCAAAGAAGGGGTTGGCTCCTTTTATATATATAAAAGTTTGGGTACAGTATTCACTCTTATAAACTAGTAATAATCCTTTGTCTGAGTAGATTGCAAAACATGAGAACTTAGCCTGTCTCAGCAGAATTTAATAGAAGCACTTAGCCCCTCTACTCCCTTAGCTCTCATTTGCCAAAGAGCTACCACCACCACAATTTTCCAGGTCGGACATTCAGATAGGCCAGAGGCAGCATCACGACAGAAGAGGGTGTTGGTGTCTCTTTAAGGTTCTCACAGGACAGGCTAAAATATCACCTTTTGCCATGCTACTCAGAGAAGGGGATGATACGAGTACTAGGTCTCATTTCCCTAAAAGTTTCTGAACATTAAAAAAAATTGTCACAAAATTTGTACGCAGCTTTTTCTTAACATATAATAATAATGTGTGTGTGTCTGCACACACATATATATATGGCAAGGACTTACCCAATGAACACATTTTGTATGTAATTTTTCCTAATATGTTCGCTTTTATATGCATTTTTCTCTATCACTAAGTTTGGAGCAAAATAAAAACCAAAGACTAATAGTCCCATGTTATTTCCAGAAGTGCAAATTGTGTCAGTTTACATTAAAATGTAAATCAATTAATTTTCCAAATGATATATTGCTTTGATACAAAATATAAGAATTTAGAAAAATATACAAGATATATAGTTAGGGTATTTTATATGATAATTTGCATTATCCCTTTATTTATGGGAGTAAAAGGATAGCCTGGAACAATGGTCAGAAAAAAAGGAAACATGCATACTATTTGATCACCTTGAATGAAAGCTAAATATTTGTATTAAATATAATTTACTCAAATTTACTTTGACAAATGAGAAATACTAAGGGAGTAAAACATCATCCAAATATGAATTACTGAAATATTATGACTGTTCAAATGGAGGGAATGTTCCTTAAAACTGTAATATTTTTGCCATAATTAACAACATTTATGTAATGGAAGAATGACCTAAATTTATCCAATTGGAAAACCCTGAAATTCTAAAATCGTTATAAGAATGCTAAGTAAATAGTATTTTCCTAATATGAACTTTTTTGTGTCTGAATTTTATTGTGAAAATGATTAATTATTATGTAAATGATTATTTATTGTAATAAAGTTAGATTTTGCAGCATTGCTATTTTCCTTCCCCCTCCCCCCCCCATTCCTTAGTTAAATTTGCTACCTGCTGGACTAGGCATGATAGGCGTCCCTGGTGGCCCTCCACCTCCTGGTGGACCCTGAAAGATAAAACAGAAAAAGTGATTCATATACAACAAGCCCAATATCTTCAAAGCAAGGGAAGAGGTCTAATGTCCATAATAAAAGGATTTTCCCTCCTGAAAGACCAGATGCATTTTATTTCATAATTCACTCTACTGGTGAGCAATAACCATGTGATGGAAAGTGCAGTTCAACAACAGTTTAACAACATCTGGATGGTCAAAAGAATATACAGTAAATGCATTATAACAATTGTTATGAAGCATGTTATTTAAATGAGAAAGAAGTTCTGCAACTTAGTTATAATTTTAAATGTTTATAATCCACATCTGGATGGTCACGAGTCCTGTTCCAGAGATTCCAGCCTATCTCTAGCAGAATCTTTCTTCTACTATTTCCTAGAAATAATCATAAAATATTATTTATTTATTTCCACCTATGTTGCCCAATAAAGATTATCCTCCAGATCAGTATTTCCCAAACTCTGGTCTTCCAGGTGTTTTGGACATCAGCTCCCAGAATCCCTGACCATTGGCCAGAGCTGATGAGTCTTCTTGAAGCTGAAGAACTAGAACACTTGGAGAACAAGACTTTTTAAATTATGGCTAATGCAAGATCTTCCTACACATACCCTTTACAACAAGGAAAGAAAAGCAGAAAATACATTTCTGTTTTTTAAAATTCACATTTGATTAGTCTCAGTTTTTGCTTTTATATTAATTACCATATTATATCCGTATTTGGGCATGTAAGACACAGCTGGTTTTCTTGAAAACCTAGCATCTTGAAAACCTAGAAAACTAAAATGTTTTCACTTGCTAAAACAATTATAATACCAATTATGAATAGATTCCATCACCAGAGAGATGTGAAATCAGGCTTTTCAGTCTCATTTATTCTAAGTGAGAAAATGCAATTTGTTAAGGCACAACAATTAAAAGGGAGAAACGTAATTCTCAGGTAATTAACAACAAAGTAAAATATTATAAAACATTTTATTTCTCATGTTGTTAGATAGAGTTTGGGACATTCAATGCAGTATCCAAAATTCAAGACTATAATTGTGTCCTCTGAAACAGCTGATTTGACTTCTACATTGTTGAAGACTATGCATTGTACCATATAAAGAACATATGCTGAAGTAAAAACCAAGACTCAGGGCAATTTTGACCAGACGGCTAACTGCTCAACTAATGAATGTCAACATATGTATTACAGATACATGGTGAACACAAAATAGATCAGCTGTTCACTTCTCAACCAATACACATGGGTTTTCCTCAGCATCTGGATAACCATTTCTTAACCTAAATAAAAGTCAACATTTATGTTAATGAGTTCCCACATATATGCAGACACACACAAATACTCACTACATAATTCCCAGGCGACGCAGAAGAGTATGGTATCTAAAAGACAAAGAAAAACAAAACTAAGCTATTTTTTTACATTCAGAAGGAAGAAAACAAGGGATTCTGTCAATATTTATTCAATTTTTATTTAATGTCTCCAGGAGGAAAAAACCTGCAAGGTCCATAAACACCAATGAACTGTACCCATATCACATTAAGAAATTTGAAGAATGTTTTACAGTTGTTTTTCCATGCTAGTAACTGTCATATGACAATACCTTTTTGTAATCATGAATATTTTATGATAAACCAACACAATTAAGGATGAAAAAAAAATATTAAGTTTCTATTAAAGATTTTCTCCAAAAGACAATCTCTTCCCTGTCTTTACTTCACTAATAAGCTAAAACACAGTTGCTTCTGAGACAGTAGTGCTTTAATTACAGAAAGGAAAGTCTGGATATGACCTATTAAATTTGATTTATTAAATCTAACAGACATACACAGATATATAAAGACATGCATTACTAAATTAGTACATTTGAGGAAAAACATAGGCAGCAAGTAATGGCATCAGTAAGTGAAGCAGAAGACAGACTATATACAATAGAATAACTGTACTAGTACAGAAACCACTCGAATTTGAAGGTGTATGTAAAGCAATTCAGCAACTTATAAAGACTTTGATTTTCTTTTAGAGTTTTCTGTAGAAGACTTCTACAGAAAACTCTAAAAGAAAATCAAAGGTTTTAAACCTAAACTGTCAGATAATTGAACTGTGGAAAGCAGGAGGAAATATAAATGAGATATATAATAATCTTGAGAATCTGTAAAAAAAAAAAGAGCCATCTCTCAAAGCAGATATTTTATCAGAGTCATCTTATCTTTGTATGTAAAATAAGAAAAATGGTTAAGTAAATCAAACTTGATATGGCAGCACAATTGTTTTTTGAAAACCAGTAACTTATATAACTGTTACACATAAGAGGTAAATAAACTGCCCTCTGAAATAAGAATGCTCTTAGCCTCAGGCAAAGTCCAACTGTGAGGAAATCAAGCCTCCCAACTGGTGCAAAGTGACAAGAAATACCGATCTGGAGGAACCTCTGAGAAGGTTCTCTGATTTGTGACTGCCTGATTCACATCAGAGGGCAGAGAAACACATGCTAAGATTTCTGAACCAGATAGTTTCCATGTTGATAAGATTATGAAATAACCGATATACCATATTGCTTTTGTTTATTTTCCTTTTTGAAGACACACAACCACAGATACCATCCAATGCACGATAATATATACTCACAGAATTGGCATTTGTAGGATTAGGCCAAGGTCTACCACCTCCTGGACCCCTAAAACATAAAAGATTGCACAAGTGGGTTTGGTGAAATTCTGAACACATTATCATACAACAGCCTTGGAACACAACAGCAGGTAAGTTAAGTTGGGTATCTAAAACAGAACAGGGTTTTACTGGTGCAACACCTTACCTGTGCTGAGTTGGTCTCAAGGATGATGCTTGAGTCCTCTCAGCTTGTTGTCCTGGGAAATGTCAGTAACCATTTGCTTATTAAGAATAGTCCAAGATTTCAAGTCTCCCATTGCAACCATGACACTGGACAGTTGATTCTGGTGCCACTTGTTTTAAATGTCTATACTCTGAACCTGTGCTCCTGTCACATCGTTAACTAGATGAGACAATGCAGATCTCATTGTCAGGATGCTATTGTAATTCTATTGTCATTGACAGATCAATAACATGAGGTTTAAACCCACTAGAACCAGAAACATGTGTGTGGGAGTGTGCTTTGATAAGTTATTTCAAAAAGTTGTAAAACTTCAGGAAGAGGAATGAGTCTTTAAACTGTAGAGAGTTCAGAACTCTGAAAGATATCTGGAATACCGAAATACCTAGGATATTATGTTTCCTAAATAGTCCCTACCCTGAAGTGGAATTAAACTAGTCTATTGAGTGGAACTGGCAGAAAGGAAATGAATGAAAAACTAATTCGAACAATGTTGGTGGAAAAACCGGAATTAGTCTGATTGAACATGAAACAGGACCTATTCAAAGATCTCATGGGAAAGATTGACAGTGAAGATAGTATTTTTTTTCCTGCTAGCATTGCATCTATACAGAGATCCAGTGTTGTCTCACACACCTTCTCCCACCCACATTCTGACTGTCTCCTTTTAAAAAATATGTTTGCCTACTGATGAAACTTTGGGTTTTTGAAAGTTCGCAAATACTTTTTGTTGCTGCCTCCTGTAGAATTTTGGGGTTTGCATACAGCCAGTTTTCTCATACCAGAAGTGACTTGCAGTTTCTTAAGTCACTCTTGACACGGAAAAAAACCCTAACTATCTAAACAACCTCTATGTTGTCACAAGTGAACACACACCTCACTTCAGGCAGTGATAAAATAGTTATCCTTACTGTAAATGTTTTAAGTTACATATTGTGTTACTTACATGTTCATTCCAGGCATTCCAGGACCACCTAAAGCATTCAGAGGGGGTCTCATAGCACCTCCATAGTTCTGCAATGATAACCAAGGGTCAGACTACCACAAAACAAAAAAACAAAACCAAAGAGGAGGGGGGAAAGAAAGGACACCAGGTTAATGACTTCCCTACACATCTGTTGATTGGATAGGCCAGCGTCATTCATTTCAGGATTTTAGTGGCTTGACTTTAAGAATAATTATTATTACTACACTATCTCGTTTTTTGAAAAAACTATTTAGCATTTCCTAATGGTCTTATTATTTTATCAAAGGAAGTGTAGTAATCACATCCACAAATGTTAATTAATTCAAGAAGATTATAATATTTATGGCAGCTAAAACAATTGTCAGTGAGGGCCAGACTTAATAGACATTTCATAAAAGCTGACCCATTATTTAAAAATACTTTAAGAACCTCTGTTTTTTTAATAAGTATATAACTATCTTAGCCTCCATCCGTTCAAGCAGGTCATTTTAGTCCTGCAGGAGTCGCATTTTATTTAGGTTAGCCCCACTTAGAAAAGCTAACATTCCTTCACTCAATTGTGTATTATAAAAAGTGTTATACAAAAAGAAAATTAAAAAATGAATATTTCACTATAATTCTTCTTATGATAGGAGCTCTAGTTGTCTGATTAGAATACAACATTTTGGAGGTCCATTTTGGAGAGAGGAGGCACCTTTACCTTGGACACAAATAGATGTTCTCTGAAATACAGTGAAGGGAACATAATGTGACAAATCTGAGGCAGACCATCATGAACAGATCTGTGCTACACACTTTAGCCTCTGCCCCTGCCTGAGCAAGCGTCTCCATCAAAATAAACAACAATTATAATCAAGAAGGAGTGGTTACTTTTGTAGCAGGGGCAGAGATACAAAATCTAGTAAACGCTGCATGGCAAGGACCACCACCATGGCACCAACACGACACACTGATTGTCTGTAGCAGGCATCTTCAAACTGTGGCCCTACAGTGGTTTGGGGCTCCAACTCCCAGAAGCCCCAGCCAGCATGATCAATGGTCAGGAATTCTGAGAGTTTGAAGCCCAAACAGCTGGAGGGCCACAGTTTGAGCAGGTCTGGTGGCTGGCACAAAGAAAGGCCTTCCATTGGGAAATATCTGCCTCAGCAAAGACTATTTTGTTATTGGCAGGAAAAATTGTCTCAGTACAACACTAAAGTCAGGTCTTCCTTCAAATAAATAAAAACTGTTTTATGTTCTTTTCCTATGGTGGGGAAAAAAAACTTCGTTTAGATATTACAAATAACACTGATAGTTTTTTAAAAAACAGAAATGGTGCTGTTTATATATTTTGCCAGAAAGAAAGAGGTGTAGCAGCTACATTGAAACATGTAGTCTGGCTCAAGGTGTTTAGGTATTGTAGAACATTCTCCTGTACCTTGTAACAAGTAGGTTTTGTGGCATTTTCTGAGGTCAGAAATGCCACAAAACATATTTAATAAAAGACTGTCGTTTTTTTCTATTAATTTAACTTGATAAAGGTTAATTCATCTTATGTGTTAGCAGCATGTGTTTATACTGTGCATGAGAATGCAATTACCACCCACGGAATGGAAAATTCTCTATCATTTTCTAGGATTGCATGATTCCAACCAAATCTTATGCCAACTAGATCACTAATAGACAATTTGGAGCAATTAGCAGAACAATTCTCCAAAACATGCCATGTTCCATACATCGCCAAAAAGATGTATTCCATAGCAATACACAGTTTATAGCAATAGAAGCCAGAAACTCTGCTCTTTATCTGGAAAAAACCCCTCAAATCAGCTACCATATTTATATAACAAGCACAACCATCTTAGCCCTTGTACTCTTAACCATAAACACTATAACTTTCTAAGTGTGTATATATGCATGTTTGTATTGTGGGGAAATGTGTTTTGAGAAGGAAACACTAATTATTAGTGTCTGAAACTGGCTGGTGCAGCCTACTTTGTAAGCTTAACAATTCTAATATTTTGATTTTTGTAAGATTTGTAACTTCATATACTGGACTCACTGACGCTCAAGCACTTTAATAGGTCAATGCTGTTCTGGATCCTATAGTATCCTACTGAAGATTCCCAGCAATATTTCAGTGTAGGTCAGGGTAATACATAAAAACATTTTTTTAAAAAATTCAAATATTAACTTGAAATTAGTTTTCATAAACAGTGTGCATCAACGTTCCCTGCACCATTATGGTGGATTGTATTAACAGGCTCTGTGTACAACTATTTGAGGTTCTAGTCTATTTTTTTAACAATTTGAGAAGCTCTTCAGAGCAATATCTGATTAGCAAAAGTGTAGTGTTTTTTAATTAAGCTTGTCCAAGGGTCCACCACAAGCTCCATTTTTGTTCAGCTATAATTTCTTAATTATTTTATCTGTAAATACAATGTATTATCAACACCTGTTCTTCCTCCATATTTTAATTAATTTTCATGTTGTTGTTTCTTAAACTATATTTGCCCCACTACCTCAATAGATATCTTGAGCAATGACAAATCTATTTGCCCCAAGGAATTGGGAAGTTGTTGCTTCTGTTCGATGTTTTGCCTTATGTCTGATATAAAAGGCTGCGTTTTTTATTTAATTTTAGTTGTTAAGTCATAATTTGTGTTTATATGTTGGGTTGTTAAATTTCGTTACTATGAATTACATTGAATGTTTGCCTTTTATTTTTGGAATCCGCCCTGAGTCCCTCCAGGAAGACAGGGCAGAATATAAATAAAGTATTAAAATTATTATTATTGTTATTATTATATTCTATAAAGGGAGAACAACAGATGACTATGTAGAAGTAAAGAACCAGATTAAAAACCTTCCTTGCCAAAGCATTACTACAGTTTACCCCAAGAATCATATTTATTTATCTATCATGGAAATAAGTGGTAAGAGGACAGAAGCAGTATTATTTATAAGTACAAATACACATAGCAACTGGAACAACTTTACTATGATTGTGATTTTCAATCTCAATAAGAAAAAATGGCAATTGTTTTAAATGTGACCACACAAACTCTAACATCAGCACTATACCTGAGGTCCTAGCGGAACCATTCCTCTAGGAGGAGTCATTCTCTGCATTGGCCCACCCATATTTGGATGACCTGACAAAGACATGAAATAGTATTTTAGGGCTATAGCTTTAAGTTGATCAATTTGATTAATTGATTATAAGTGTTTTGATTTAAATCACATTTAAAATCAGACGGTATACTTCTCCAATTCAACCTTGATTCCAGATATTTAAAACATATCCTTTCTCATACATAATAGTAAAACATTTCTTGTAAAAAAACTTTTCATGGTAGACACAGCATTTATATTAATTACCTAAATATAAAAAATCATTCTTTTAGAACTTTAATGAGCATAAAAATTCAATTATGAATGAATAGAATGAATCCCAAGCTACCTACTGAGTGTTCACAAATCAGGAACTGTTCCCTGATTTTTTCATGTAAACAAAAATCAGGTTTGTTAAGTTCTTCTTAAGGAAATAGTACTAATTGAATCATCTAATGTTTGCACCATTGGTTTATTAAAATTTTGTTACAGTGACAATGTTAAATAATATATAGCTGTAAGACTTATTTCAAATTTGAAATTATTCAAAACATTGCTTTGAAAGCACTTAAGAAATAATCCAATAACTAAAAATAAAGTTATTGGATACTGGGTAAAAATATTGCCTACTGGAACAGCAGCAATGGTGTCTAAATTTCCATAAAATAATAATAAGTTAGAAAAAAAAAGAGCTGTGAGGTGGATAAAAAATCAGAATCACCAGGTGCTTACAGATAAAAAAATCTTATTTAATTCCTAACGAAAGATCTCATAGGTACAGAACTCAGTTCTGTCATTTCTCATGATTTATTTTGATACAGAAAAACAAAACTATTAGAACTCAAGATGAAAGCATAACAGTTATCCATTCTAAACTGTGAGATGATTATGTAAAACAGTTTTTCTCTTTCATCCTATGCCTCTGAGATATACATGAGAAAGAATGATAGGAACCTCTAATTCACTGTACCGCAATGGTGCACACTATTTCTGAGAGCATTATAACAACAAAAATATCTCAATTGATATCTAATTGTTTTTTAATAATACCTTGTTGCCGTGTTGGATCCATTCCACTAGGCAATAATGGCTGACTTCCTGGTACACCCCCAAGTGCCTACAAAAATATAAAATTAACAAAAAATAACTTCACTACAAGAATCATATGAGGACATTCAACCTAAACTTAAGGTCAATTCTGTGAATTGATTAATCACAGTTTAAAGTAGATTAGACCAATTTTACAAACTGTAGTACAAATTTGAGTTTAAAATATGTCTACCCAGTTAGCTGATTTTGTTGTTGTTATTCTTAGGGGGGAAATACCCAATTCCTACACAGTAACACTACAAAAGTCCAATTAATTTAAATTCTAATACAAAACTAAATTCCTATATGACATTAACTATATGTTTTAAGCATATAGTACAAGTAATATATAATAAATTATAGTAAATTTTAAATAATTTGCAGCTCTCCCCGTCAAGAAGTTTATAAATGTGCTTCAGGGCCAAAATAAAAGCAGGTAATATTGTATGGTTTGTTTTCAGTTTTTTAAAAAGGTGGAGATATGAGAATGCTAAGCTTGGATTCTATTCAGTAAAGGCCTGACAGCCCTGTTCTTTGCCAGGATAAATTGATGAAGACTAAGATGTGAAAAGTTTGACTTCAGCTCTAATACAGCTAGCGCTGTGGTTAACATACGGCACTGTGTCCCAAATCAAATAAAGTCTATCTGACATTATTGTATTAAAAATGGAAGTTTGAAATTTATGGCTTTTCAACTGAAATATTCTCTTAACACTTATAATTCCTCAACAAAAAGACTGTTACCTGGTTTGGTATCCTTAAAGGTGGTCGTGGACCTCCTGGGTATCGGGGAGACATGAAAGGCTACAAAAGGAGATTATTGTATTAAGAATACTGATATACCAAATATTGTATTGTGGTTCTAGGCACCACTAAAAGTAATACCAGTGACTTTTAAAACAAGTTATCGCAAACCCTCTCCTTGTACTTCAACTGTTATGATCTACAGCTAAAGGCATTCTGGAGTCACTAAGCACCAACACTTATTTCTTCAAAAGGTCAACACTCCCAATGTAGTCCTTGGAGGGTCAAAAGAAATGAGCTCCTAGAAGATCAGAACTGACAGAAGGGCCATGTTGCAGACATGATGGTAAGACAGGAGTCTTGGCTTTTTTTTTAAAGCACGATGTAAACAAGCAGAGAGCTAGACCACTACATGAAAGGAGAACTTTGCGCCTAAACATCCAGGATTCAGGAATGACTTTGCAATCATTGCTTGAGGAAAGCATGGGAACATGTTCTTGTCTGAATGTTAGGCTGTTATGGTTGATTACATTGGCTAGGGCTGGTGGGAAATGCCAGCAATCTAGAGCACGAGGTATTTCCCATTTCTGCTGTTTCTGTTCTCTGATAGCAGTCTCCTAAGCCCATGTAACTGTAAACAGGCTGGGAATGGAGCTAGGCAAAGCTTGCAAAAACACACACAAAAAATCTGTGTCTAAGTATTAGTTAAGCCAGTTCAGGAGTCTTCCATCGCAATATAACTGGGATCTGTTAGACCATTTTGTGAGATGACTCTTCAGAAAAAAAAATCAATCTTGTGATTGTAACTGCATATTTGAATTGTGTAGTGTCTGAGACTGGATCGACACTGTCCTATATCCCAGGATCGAATCCCAGATTATCTGCTTTGAACTGGGATAACATGAGTCTACTGCCATATAATCTGGGATAAGTAGATTATATATAGGGCAGTGTAGAGAAGCTTCAGTTTAAGCTAGTCACATCATCATAGCAACAACATTATTCTCCAGAGCTCTACAAAAATGAATGTAGAAGTGTTTCCATTGATAATGAAAACAAAATAGAGAACTACAATATTAAAATTTTACCAGTTTACAGACACATTATATTGACTATGCAAACAAAATATACAGTAGTATATAAAATTGTATAATCAAGAACTGAGATTTACAATTTAATCACTAATTCAAAGAGAATCCAAGACCCAGAGATTCAAATTTTCAGATTAATATGGAATACCTTAGCTGATATTGTAATCCACTTTGGCATATATATTTTTCTATGTGAAAAAAAATCAATTCTTTAAAATTGTTCTTCTGTGTAGTTGTAGAGAATGAACTCATTTTTCATATTACCTAAAATATACACTTTCCTCTTAAATGGTAGCTTATACCTTAAGATCCATTTCAGATGTCATGCCATCATCTGACTATATGGTAAAATTACAATATGAAACTGGATTTGCCCCCCCCCCCCCAGTGTCATGTGTCTTCTAACTTTCTTATTTCTAATCTAATATTGTAAACCTTCCTCATAAAGGAACTTTTATAATTTAAAAGCATTCTGAATATTTCTGTTTATGTGCCACCTTCTCACACTTCCAGTACTCGACCATCATTACTATAAATTTCAAAAACATGCATTAAGATGAAATCAAAACCGAATAAGTGATATCAAAACAAAATGCTATTGTTGAAACAACTTTGCTTTAAAATGTCAAGAAAAATGGAAAAGATATGAAAATAGATTCCAAGTGAGTCTCCCTGAAGAGAGCATGCAATTGGCCTTCAATATTTGTGGGAGTTACAGACATAGGATCCCTAAGGAAGTGGAAAAAGTGCAGCTACAGGCCCACCATTTTTTAACTGAAAGAACAATTCTCTATGCATTTTAAGTCAACTTCTGCCATAACTTATTTCAAGAGTTGTTGACTACTAGATGCCAAAAAATGGATAAAATTGCTAAATTTGCACTTTGTTCTGTAAAGACTTGTGGAGGAAACTGAGGCCCCTCCAGATGGGGCTTTGACTTAAAAGAGAAAAAAATGGGTCACATTTATACACCTGGGGTAGAATGTAGTTTTGAATTGAGTTGCTGTGCGTATATTGTAATGGGCTGACAATAAAGATGTGACTGAATATATTGTTCAAGTTGTGAAATACAGATATAATTAAGTTAAAAAGGCCTATGATAAAGATTCTAGATTCTGCTTTCCCCCCTCCAGCTTTAAGCATGTGTAGTCCAAGAAAAGATTTGCTACTTCATGAAGATGCAGAATGTGTGATGTAAAAACTGAGGTTTTTTGGAGGAAAGGCTTGAACTTGACCCTTACTTAAAATGAAGTCCTGCTCAGTTGTGACCATGAAAGGAACTGTGGGCTTAAACTATCAACTTTATTTCATTCCATCATTTTGGCTGCTGTAGGACACATGTTTCAGTTTGATTCTATCCATCTTAAGTTTGAAGTAACTCATGTTGTCTTAACTGGGGCTTTTTCCTTAACTCTATGACTGCTAATCCTATAAATGTCTATTTAAATGAAAATAAGCGGGAAATATTTCAGCTCACACTCTTCCACATACTACCTCAAAAAACTGACTTACCCATTAATTCTCAAAAATACTCCCAACTAAATTCACAATGGATTAGAATCTCAAAACATTTTTGCCATATTTCACTGACAATGTGAAAAATATTATCAACTACTTCTTTTCCTGTACCTAATATTGGGGAAACATTTTTTTAGTATATTTATGATTAAAAGAAACAATCTATTATCTCAGAAACATTTCAAATTACATTAAGTTTCAAATTACATTAGTGTGAGCTGATGCTCACTTTTACTGAGGATCTTACTTGAGGTAAATCCATGTGCATCATTCATTCTGCTATTTGGTTGTAGAGCAGTGAACATGGAAGCAGCAGTTTCACAAAGACAGTAGAACCTAAAGATAGCTGGGCTCACTATAAGCTGAGCTTTCTGATAATTACTATAGCATTTTTATCCAGCTGCACTTGTGAATCAGGAGGTTCAAGAATGCTACTCTAAACTGGATCTCCAAATAGCTTGTTTAAAAGTAATCTAGCTTTGTAAAAAATTGTCTTTTTATACAAGGTTACTAAGTAGCACTTCTTCCAAAATAGTTCTGAACATTGTTTTTATTTCCTTCAGATAGTTTCAGGCTGTACTTGCTATCAAATTACACAGCAAACAAAAGGAAATCCATTAGCCTTCTAAGAACAGTTTGTGAATCGAGCATCCATATGAGTGACTAAGATGCAAGACTCCTGACAGAAAATCTATGTTTGTTATGGTTTAGCCTTTGCCATACAAATATTCCATGTGTATTTCCTCCCTGTCTAAAACAAAACAATGATCTCTTCAACATCTCTATGTTGCGTTTCCTCTTGATGGTTCTTTCTCCACAGGACAGAATATGAAATCTTGATTTTGCACCATTGATTAGAGGTGTCCCCCCCCCCCCCTTACTTGAGAGTCAGGATTGGGTTATAAGAGAGAGATGCCCTTAAGTGGAATGGAAAATACACATTCCCTTTCAGAAGACTAAAAAATTAGATCTATATTTGTGCTAGCCACAATCCAATATCAGACAGCGATATCCTGTCTCCATGCAATCTGAACATCTGTTTGCAGGACAATTATTGAATAAACCACAGCAAACGGGAACAAAATTCAGAAACTGAATCATGTTGATTTTTCTACGTCAATTGTTTAGTTCACTAATGTTAGGCTATTTCATCTTTTAGGAAAGTAAGTTGGGAATCACACTGCTTGAAGATTATGCTCCTTACATCTCACCATTCCCCCGCCCCCAACAACTCATATGTGGGGGTTGAGGGAACGATGTCTGGTCAGCAAAGATGAATGAAAGGATATTTGGAAGGTGAGACTGCTTATCCTTGGAGGAGATGACCTTGCTTATCTTAGCAGGATATCAATGTAGTTAGACAAATGCATCTTTTCTAAAATGCCTCCTGGTTTTAAATAAACTATGTGAACTGCTCTCACAACCAACACAAGTAGGAGGCTTACACGATTTCAGAGGCGTTGCCAATGAAGACAACTAACTCATATTTTTTCATTAACACTTATTGTTAATATATACAGCTTCATCTGCATTCTCTCTCTCTCACACACACACGCAAGCCAACTTTATCACAAGCCTTATATGTAGCAATCATATCCATCTATATCTAAACACTAATATGGCAATAGTGTTGCTATACTCAATATGCTTCAGAGTGAAAAACAAATCCTAAATTAACTTTCTGGTGTTTTTGTTTAAAAGAAATAATAATAATAATAATAATAATAATAATAATAATCTTTATTTACACCCCACAACCATCTCCCCGAAGGGACTCAGAGCAGCTCACAAAAAGCACACAATAGCGCAGAACACACAAAATACAAATAAACAAATAAAACAATAACAATAACAAAATAAATTCACAAAACAATAATTGCATAAAATAACATACAATCCTACTGATTAAAATCCAACTGTCTTGCAAGGCTGCAGATATAACAGGCTGTGAAATGTCTTAGTCCATAAAGTGCGAACAGAATCAATAAATCAATACTGCTGATCTACAAAATCAATTCTGTCCCAATACACATACAGCATTGTCACAGGAAGAGGAAATGCAGAGAATGATGTAACCACTAGATGGCATAATAATCACATACACACATCATAGATATATTCACGTAAGCCTTTACATAAGAACAGCATATAAAATGTAACTTTGGAAGTCATAGTCAATAGCCCTTCTCTCATCACTATAACAGTATAATAATAAGTACAACCAGTAATTTGGTTGTTTTCCTGTATGTTGTGCTTATAAGTGAACTTCTGTTTGAGAACGATCTTTTTGTTCCAGGGCATTAAGAGTTAACTATTTTGTAGCATTTCCTGGGTGAGTTAGATATGAACTCTGTTCTATTCTCTGCATGACTTGCCTTGTACATGGGGAAAATCTATGAGCTGGATCCAAAGCAGCACAGGCAGTGCTGAGCTCAGGCATAGGAGCCTTTC